TTACTTGCGTTTTACTTTTGGAATCATTGTGGGGCATTTTAATGCTTACCTAAATGCGGCTGTAGAGCTAAGACAATACTAAACTCCTTCCAATTTTACATGGCGATCCTGCCAGCTCAAAGCTAGATCCTACCAACCCAAATCTAGACCCTGCCAACTCTATCAAGACCCTGCCAGTACATTATGGTAGAGGAATACGTTCCGGAAGGATCGAAAAACGCAGAAGAATACCCCAAATACATCCCTACAAAAATTGTAATAGGACCCAAACCAATATCCCTAGAGGAATACCGGCAAAGGCAAAACCGCCAAAAAGCCAACTTACAAGAGTTTAGGCAACGAATAAGCTGCGAACATAAACCCAAAAAACGTGGAGGTAGAAAGCGAAGGCACCAAAAAGAATGTGCAGCACTACAGCGAATAATTAACATCAGTCGCGGGCAACAAAAGAAGAAGTTGATAACCAAACTAAAAGATCTGCACAAAAATGGGTGGAACCCAGCAACAACAACAACGCAGAACCACCAAAAGGATCATTAGGAAATTTATAGTATGAACAGGGAAACCACCTTTGTAGACGTCATAAATCCAAAAAACTAGGGAAGAAGAAACAAGGAGAATGTTAGCACAAATAAGACAGCTATAACTAATAAAAATACAAAAAAAAATTTTTTTTTTATTAAATTAAAAAACAAAACTAATAATAAAAAGGAAAATTGTTTTTCTCATTCATTTTTTTTTCAACCGTAAAATATTATTAACATAAAAATGACTTGGTGGAAAATTGCACTAAACGGCATATTAATAGGAATAGCAGGATACGAAGTAGGAAAAGAAACCTCAGGTGAAAACACCTACGAAACTAAAGTAATTAAATATCAACCACATCCTATCGTAGAAAACAAGGAAGAAGTTCCCGATAAGTGGTTGACCGCTTTTGCATGCGTAGCTACATGTTTAATTGTCGCAATGGTAATCTTGATAAAAAATTACATTAAAAACAAATTGAGACAATTAAACAATGTACAACAACGCGTATAACTCTCTCAATAAAAAGAAACAACTTTCAAAAATGCCAAAAGTTTTAAACCAGAAATGAATCAATGGAAAGAAATCCATGACACATTAACTGACGAAAAAACTAAAGCTAGTAAATCATACAAATGTATAAATAAGAGTATTCCTATAACAACGGAAACTATAGTAAAACATTTGAACATAATCTTGGAAGCCCTTAATAACATTAGACAGGTGATCAATGTAGCAAATCGCATACTTACCACAGAACACCAAAAGGAAGCTTACCAATTTTTCATTGCAGTACGAGATAAACTTGTATCTTCGTTAGCTAGACAAAATATAGAAGTAACAATACCAACCACATTAGAGGAGAATCTCCAGGTTGATTTTAACTTACTTCTGTCAGAACGCGTCCGAAGCCGGACTCCATCACCCTCTTTAAGTCAAGGGGAAGACACCAAAAAAGTAAACATCCCAACCATAAACGTCCCAATGGTACAAACAGTAGTCGAATTCATTAAAACCGCCTCGTCAGTACTCCCAGAGTTTGATGGGAAGCCAGAAAACTTACACAGCTTCTTAGATGCCCTCGACATACTTGATCAAATCAAGGATGAGCACGAACTTTTAGCAATAACAATGATAAAGACCAAGCTAAAAGGAACGGCCAGAAACTTCATCAGTAATGAAAACACGATTGGACAAATAAAAACAAAACTCAAAAACGCGATAAAAGGTGAATCGGTAGAGGTTTTAACCGCTAAACTTCTAAACGTTCAACAACGTAGTAAAACTGCTAACCAATACACAGCGGAAATAGAAAAAATTACCAGATCACTAGAAGGAGCATATATCTCGGATGGATTGAACCCAGACTTAGCAACGAGATATTCTACACAGGCAGCCGTCAAAAAAAAAGTCAGTACAATAAAGACACATGTGAAACAAATGTAAACAAAATAAAGTAAGAAAACCTTTTTCCAATAGCATAACAATAAACGATAAGCTAAGTGAGCCAAACATTTTATTACCTAATAATTAATTGTTACTGAATAAGTCATTGAAATAGAATACTCATACATTAACCCAAATGTATGAGCATTCTTTTAAAGAGAGGAGGTGTAGCATGACAGCTAAGCAAAACAAAATGTTCACACAATATTAAGTAAAAAGTTCAATATACTTTTGGCAATAACTAGGCCAAAGTACTCAAATCAATTTAGCTTGCGCTGCACTTCTCCAATAACATAAACTCGATTGAACCCATATACATTTATGTATGCATGCACAACAACGTACAATCATAAGCATGACTAACAACTTAGAAATGTAAGTTTGTAATTTAGATTACTCATAAGGTAGATTGTAAGCATATAAAAGAACGGCGATGAGCCGAATAAAACATTCCCACTTTAAGACTCAACGTTTTTACTTGCGTTTTACTTTTGGAATCATTGTGGGGCATTTTAATGCTTACCTAAATGCGGCTGTAGAGCTAAGACAATACTAAACTCTTTCCAATCTTTACACCCTTATTATGAGTTGCATTCCATTTCCGATCTTCGCTGGTTATCGAAGATCGAAAGTGAAATTCGTATTATGAGCTATGCAACCGTGTCAAAATTTTCGTTGAGTATCGAATTTTCTGTCGAACAGAATTTTGCTTTCGATGGTGTAGCGAAGTGTTAGAAAATTGTGAAAAATGTATGATTTTGCATTTGTTTTCTTACGTTTTGGCGGGTAGGCACGAATTTTAAACAATTTTTATCAATTTCATGCAGTTTTAACGTCGTGAATACAAAACACAAGCTTGAAAGGCTGCTTTTACTTGTGAAAGAAAATCCCAATACTCAGTTGGCACAATCTCTGAGAACAAATCATAGAGCTGTGGATAGTTTTAAAATATTTTAAATAGATTTGGCTCATAAACGACTTTTTAGACAGTCGGGAGTTTTTAGTAAATCTGTAGACAAATTTCTTAAATATATTTTATGCCAAAATATATTGTAAAGACTACNCTCATAAACGCCTCTTTAGACAGTCGGAAGTTTTTAGTAAATCTGTAGTCAAATTTCTTAAATATATTTTATGTCAAAATATATTGTAAAGACTACACTTAAACTCTCTTAAACATTTACTACTCCTGGTCAGCTCACTAAACTCTCATCCTCTGACGAATCGTTGAACCCCAGAACTTCGTTGTACTAATTTTTACCAAGTTTTTATAAACTTGCTTTCTTTTTTATTTCATTTTAATTTGCATAAATTTACATNTTGCTTTCTTTTTTATTTCATTTTAATTTGCACAAATTTACATAAATATGTATATGTATAAGCACTATTTAATTTGCTCGATTTGTAAACAAAGCTTCTCAGCGGTGAAAAATATACTATTGTGAACAACATAAACGAGCGAAGTTCACAATAGCGCTATTCTTCATCGAATGAGCGCCATAATACCAAATGAAAATTCGTTCGATCAGCACTTTCGACCACAGTCGAAGATCGAGTGTAACTCATAATAGGGGCCTAAATTCCGATGAACTAATCACATGTTTCTTGCCAGCTACCAGCACGGTTGCTTAAGTAGCTAAAATGAAATTTTACCCGAGTTGAACGTTCTTTTGACGCTCGCTTACAAAAAAAATGCAGCTAACAAATATAACGGGTGATTTTTTAAGAGCTTGATAACTTTTTTCTCATCGGTTCTTTATTTGAAACGTTAGATTGGTCCATGACATTTACTTTTTGAAGATAATTTCATTTAAATGTTGACCGCGGCTGCGTCTTAGGTGGTCCATTCGGAAAGTCCAATTTTGGGCAACTTTTTCGAGCATTTCGGCCGGAATAGCCCGAATTTCTTCGGAAATGTTGTCTTCCAAAGCTGGAATAGTTGCTGGCTTATTTCTGTAGACTTTAGACTTGACGTAGCCCCACAAAAAATAGTCTAAAGGCGTCAAATCGCATGATCTTGGTGGCCAACTTACCGGTCCANCTTTTAATGCTATATATTGCGTCGTTCAAAGTACAAAACCGCGTAGGAGTAAAACGCGTCTTATTTCCAAACGGTTCTCTCATTTATCCCTAATTATCTCTTTTTCTTATGTCTTAGCATCGACATTTTAATATGAATGAATAAGGGCTTAATGCCAGGAACTTCCGGTGAGCAAATAACTTTTTTTGGCACAAAAGCTAGTTACGAGGCTTTGCAGAACCATGATACGCGTTTTGGAATTTAAACGACGATATGTACCTGCAAACGGTTTTTGATGCGTCATACTTTATTTTACAAATTTACCAAAATTATAGTAAGTTTTAAATATAAAAATTTCCGCTTACTGGTGACATTGACAAACAAAATTATGCGTAAGAGTAACGACAAACATGCAATTTTAAAAAAATAGCATTACATACAATATTGAGCTCACCCTGACCTGGTTGTTCCATGCTTTACGATACCCATCACGGCCAGACCACACGTATAAACGACTCTGAATGCCCACTGCACAATGACCAGCTCGAGCTCTTGGCACGTCTTCATCTACTGTATCAACTGTTACATTCTCCCATGTCATTGAATCTGTGTAACGACTTGAATGAAACGAGCTTAAAGTTAAAAATAATAGAGCTACTAATTACCCAAATCAAGAACTGCCAGGGTATTTGTACATTTCCATTCTCTTTCAGTTGTTGCTTTTGAGTCGTTTATTAGTAATGGTACCCAACCACCAAAAACATACATTTTATTACAGATCATTGTAGCGCTATGTAGAGACCTAGGTAAAGGTGCATGACCACGTGTACGCGGCTTAGACCATGTCATAGAATCTATTGTTAAAAAATGGTAACATTTTTCATCAAATTGCATGGACTTTTGTTGTAGTCTCCACCTACCAACATCCAAAAGCCATAAATCACCCAACCGACAGCCACTCATGCCACCATATATTAACAAATTTAGCTTATTTGTAGTTTTGCTCGTAAAAGCCACGCCCGTGTGAGACTCACGTGGTGGAGGACTTTCTCCGTAAGTTTTTGGTATGATCCACTTGCCATTGTGGCTGTGCACTGCACGAGTTTCCAATATGTACAAATCGTTGAGATATCTACATATCAACGTGTTACGTTGTTATGAAAAGAAAACTGTATAAGCCTAAGTGCCGTTTTCTGAAGTTGGTTTTAAAATTCGCCTGCTTTTTAAATATATTTTTTTCAGAACAAAATTTGTGTTTAAAGGGCATACAAAATTTAAAACCTACTTCAGAAAACAGGCCTAAGTGTTAGCTTACTTGGGTATATTGTTTTTGGGATCATCAGATTCGTTGGCCAGCCCACCAAAAAGAAAAATACGATCACCAACCATAGTAAAACTATGGCCCAGGCGCGGGCAAGGCGCAGGTCCATTATCTGGCAATTCGGGATTCATCTTGCGCCATTCCCATTTTGTAGCTTGTAACTCATAAAGTTCATTAGAATATTTGCCATATTCTATCATGCCACCAAAAACGAACATGCGCGTACCAACGACAACGAAGCCGTATGCAGCGCAACCAGGTGGCACTTCACCACGCATGGCCGGTACAAACCATTGATTGGTGACTAAAAAATTAATTATTTTCATTAACTGAGATATATAAATTTAGTCTTATGAAATAATCACCTACCGGAATTATATACATGAAGTTCGTCAACAATACCCTCATTGCCGCCTCCAAAAACAACCATTAATTCCTTTATGTTTATAGCACGATGTCCATGGCGTGGACGTGGTTGGGGCCCAGATGGATTGCTTAGGCGTTTCCAACGAAATCTTTTGGCATTATTGTTGTTTGCATTGTTCCCTGAAATAATTTTTTAATCGTGCTCCTTATTCAAGTGACAGAATTTTGTTTCTTCAAATCAGTGGTGCACACGGGAGTCTCCGGGAGATACTCGGCTTTCACACCCAAGTCGTGTGTGCGCAGCTACCGAACTTATGCGCCGCTAGCAGCCGGTCAGTTTGCGTTTGTACTTCATGCTGTAAGCATCACATGCGCGAGGTGTTTTGCTGAGTACACACATACAAACACAAAAATATTGCGCTTGTATTGGGAGCTCTGCCAACGCTGTGCACCACTGCTTTAAATAAATCACTCACCATCGTCGATAAAGTTCTCTATTTCGACTTCCATGTTGTCGCAGTTAGCCCCATTGTTGTTACGATTTCTGACCAATGACGTCTCTTGTTGCACTGATTCGATTTCAGAAGTACTTGCAGTAGTCATATCGCTAGTACTTATCAAGTCAGAAGACTCCATTATTTCAATTTATATTAATTGTAGTTGTGAAGATATATAGACTGACTTATAAGTTATCTTCTACTTAAAACATACAAGCATATTGTAGGTTTTCAGTAGATAAAGGTTGTATTTTAGATGTCTTATTATCTGTAATATAAAACAGTATATAAATTGGTTCTACTAAAAACTATTTGTTATAGCTTCGCAATAAGTATATAATTAGGGGATTCCCTGAAAAGCAAAAAAGTGGAGAACTCAAAACCCTCGAAAGGCTGTTTTTGAGAATGCACAAAGGAGCCTCGTATACAATGTCACGGTTCCATCAGTTTCTTGTAATAATAGATGGTATCAGCTGAAATAAATATAAAAGAAAAACATTCAAAATGCCGCGAAAAAGTTATAAAAATTTAAGTTTATGGCTCAACGTCGGGG